ACACCAGCGATTTCAAACCGTGTTTTTGAGACTGTCTTTGGTTCACTGCAGTTTTAAGCAGAAAATACTCAGCAATGCTGTCGACTTATGAACTTACACATGGTGTGTCTTAAAGCGTATTAAAAACACCACATAGACATATAGGTCCAGTTTTGATAGTCTGATTAAACATTATGTGCTCAGTAGACATCAGCAGGGTTTGAGACCAGTATCCAATGCAATCTGTTCCTCTGATATATAACGTTGAAGCGCTTTAAGATCCCGTACATCGGTTTAAGTCAGAGGAAATCACAGTCACGAAGCCGCAACCCCGTTAAAACGCTTTGAAATAAGCTTGTAAATTGATTATGCTGAATGGAATAAGCTGCGCTGGAGTCTTTATTTATTTATTTGCTGGACTCCCGAGAGCCGGAAGCACATGTGCGGTTAATCCCGCCGGCTCCAGGGAAGAAAAGCCCTCGGAGAGTTTGACTTCATTAAGAACTCAGTCTCGTTTGATTTCATTCACAGCTTTAATTCAGATGTAATTGTGTCTGTTTTCAGGAGTTATTAACGGCTTCTAATGAAATAAGTTAATCCATGCATTCAAGGGTTTGTTTATGGTCACAATGTTTAATTAGTCCATAGTTGTTCTTTAAGTTAAATGACTGTTTACTGTAGATAAAACATGCTGTGCAGAAGCTGAGGTATGAATTGAAAAAAATAATAGAAATAATAATAGTTTCAAAGAAATGGCAATAGAAGCTTGTTTCCAGCACAGAATACAAAAAATCGAATTTATATCTCGCGATTGCTGGTTTTTATCTCACAATTTGGACTTTATAACTTACAAGTTTATATCTGACAATTCTGAGAAAAAAATATATGAACTGACAACTTCAAGAAAAAAGTGAGATAAAAAGTTTTTTCATTGGTGAAAAATGTAAAAACCCATTCCAATATTCTTTGTTTTCTTTACAACGTGTAAATCTCATGTTTTACAGTGTGAAGATCATCTCACGTGAGTGTGTTTAACATCTGTAGATCTTCTTCTAACTCTCTCTCTCTCTCTCTCTCTCTCTCTCTCTCTCTCTCTCTCTCTCTCTCTCTCTCTCTCTCTCTCTCTCTCTCTCTCTCTGCTGTTTGTCGTTTTAAACAGATGATATATTTTTACTCTGTGCTTGATTAAACCCCCTCAACATGGAAGATTAATTTTGTCCTCAATATTAATGTTTATTGGTTTAATGTGTTGACGTCTCCAATGTGTTTCCATTCATTTTATATTAGACACTGATAACTAGTTTCCTATCAGAGGACTAGAGGACTAAACCATCACTAGAACAGTCTCGAGACTCTTTCTTCAACAAAATCAGCAAATCATTTTCACTTCAACCACTCCATTCATGCTCCTGCCTGACTGAACATGAATCATATTTAATATAAATATTACACTGATTAGCAGATGGCTTCATATTCTTCTATATCAAGAGCTCATAATTACACACAAGTGGCTCAGTATGAGTGGTTTAGATCACTGTGATCTTTACAGCTGCTACAACTCACTGAAACAAGAAGACATGAACGATGCTGTCATTTCAGTTGAGCACGTCGTCGGAAAATATTGAAATATAATTTATTACAATACGTAATAATTAATTTATTGATTTTACAACTCTTTCTAAAAAAGTATAGAGGTGCAGCTTTAGGTGGAGACAATTGTCTTTCTTTATGAGTGAATACCTATGCTTTAATCAGAAACGAATCAAGTGATTGACTCATTGAATTATTCACTGAACCGATTCGTTTAAAACGCCAATGCATTAAACAACAATGGGTGTACATTACAATCATGTATAATTTACATTATGATAAATACTTTGCTTGTTACATATGCGTGCAACATTTCACCCATAAATATATTATAAATGTTAGTTATTATGTTCATTACCTGTCTGGCGATGTATGATTATGTTATATATAGGGAAGAATGTGATTTCGGATGCAGCCGTGTGCTCTCTGGTTTTCATGGTGCATTGTGGGATTTCTGGGAAGTTTCAGTGTTTCCGACTCCCTGATCAGTGCAACATAATGCATGTAAAAATATAATGCAAATGCACATCATATATAATGTAAATGCACATAATGCATGTAATATATAATGAAAATGCACATAATGCATGTAAAAATATAATGCAAATGCACATCATATATAATGTAAATGCACATAATGCATGTAATATATAATGAAAATGCACATAATGCATGTAATATATAATGTAAATGCACATAATGCATGTAAAATATAATGAAAATGCACATAATGCATGTAATATATAATGTAAATGCACATAATGCATTAATATATAATGTAAATGCATGTAATATATAATGAAAATGCACATAATGCATGTAATATATAATGAAAATGCACATAAAATGCATATAATATATAATGTAAATGCACATAATGCATGTAATATATAATGTAAATGCACATAATGCATTAATATATAATGTAAATGCATGTAATATATAATGTAAATGCACATAATGCATGCAATATATAATGTAAATGCACATAATGCATGTAATATATAATGAAAATGCACATAATGCATGTAATATATAATGAAAATGCACATAATGCATGTAATATATAATGTAAATGCACATAATGCATTAATATATAATGTAAATGCACATAATGCATGTAATATATAATGTAAATGCACATAATGCATTAATATATAATGTAAATGCATGTAATATATAATGAAAATGCACATAATGCATGTAATATATAATGAAAATGCACATAAAATGCATATAATATATAATGTAAATGCACATAATGCATGTAATATATAATGTAAATGCACATAATGCATTAATATATAATGTAAATGCATGTAATATATAATGTAAATGCACATAATGCATGCAATATATAATGTAAATGCACATAATGCATGTAATATATAATGAAAATGCACATAATGCATGTAATATATAATGAAAATGCACATAATGCATGTAATATATAATGTAAATGCACATAATGCATTAATATATAATGTAAATGCACATAATGCATGTAATATATAATGTAAATGCACATAATGCATTAATATATAATGTAAATGCACATAATGCATGTAATATATAATGTAAATGCACATAATGCATGTAATATATAATGAAAATGCACATAATGCATGTAATATATAATGTAAATGCACATAATGCATTAATATATAATGTAAATGCACATAATGCATGTAATATATAATGTAAATGCACATAATGCATGTAATATATAATGTAAATGCACATAATGCATGTAATATATAATGTAAATGCACATAATGCATGTAATATATAATGAAAATGCACATAATGCATGTAATATATAATGTAAATGCACATAATGCATGTAATACAGTATATAATGTAATTATAAATTAGCATTGTAAAATAACTGCTGTACTGGGAACAATCATAAATGCAGGGGATGAAGGGAAAAGTCACATCTTTATAGGTATTATGTGCAGCTCAGTTCCTCAAGCTGTGGTAAAATCCCTGTAAAACGTGTTTGACTGTGTTCTGGAGATGGAGGGAATTATGGAGCATAAACACGACTGATTTCCATTGTAAGCTCCTCTGGTTTTCTGAGCGTTGCATCAGCTCTCTTCTGTTCTCCAAAGGATCTTTCAGGGGTTTTAATGTTTATTTTTGATGGATACATCCGTGTTTGAGTCTACAGCAAAGCTGAGGTGAAGGGAATCTGTGAGGTTTGACTAATGAAGCACCATCATCACTGAAACTCATATCAATAATTCAGATTGAGTTGCGAACGGTAACTGTACGGTTGAGTCTGTGCACGCTTTGTGTTGATAATGAGCAACAAACCTTGACAGACTTTTAGTCAGTTTATTTTATTATCATTAATATACTATTATATTTTTGTTTATATTTTGAATTTGTTTCATTTTAGTTAGTTTTAGAATTTTTATTAAAAAAATTAAATATATCTATAGTTTTAATTAAGTTTTAGTTTATTTTAGTACTTCAAGTTAAACCAAATGAAAATGAATAAAAAAAAAACATATTTAGGGCCCTATGAACTTTTATTTGTTATCCAAATTCCACTTTTTTCTTTCAAATGCCGTTTTTTCTGTTTAAAATTTTTCTGGATTTTTCGGGACTCCATTTTAATGATTTTAATGATTTTATTGATGTGTTTGTATTTTATTTTTTATTTTTTTTTATTTTATATTTCACTCTTTTATTTTTTGTCCTGTACTTTTTGTCTCTGTCCAGCGCTTTGATCAACTCTGGTTGTTGTAAAGCGCTTTA